AAAGAGGGGCCTGTGTCTGCCGACCACCGGCCCGAGGTCAGCCAGGCCGGGCCAGCCAGAGTTCTGTAGGACTTACTCCAGGACCTCCTAGCCTACCCACACACACAACTTCCGTTATAAAAGTACTGCACACTGCATTTCTAATATTCTTTAGTGATTCGTAACAATGATTAGACCAAATGGCACATTTTATACAAACACTCTGCTCTTCTTGGACATGTAGACCTACTGTCCCCCTCTGTCACAAATAACTGAAGTGGACACCGTGGTACTTAGGGGTGTTCTTCCCATATGCGATTATTTCCTTAGGTTGGGTTCCCAGAAATGGAGTTGTTGAATTTGCTTATTTTTTTAAAGAATTATTTTTATTTAATTCCCTATAAATTAAATAATTTTAATAATCAATAATTATCATTATATATTAAATTATTAGTTGTAATTAATAATGTGTATACACACACACACACACACAGATATAATTTGACTAGAGAGAGACAGAGAGAGAGGGACAGAGAGGGAAAGCAAGCCGCCAGGTCCAGGACTTGAACCATGGTCAGTCATGTGGGAGCCCAGCACCTTAACCACCATGCTACCTGCCAGCTCTAGGACATTTGCTTTTTTTTTTTTTTCTCCTTCTTATAGAACTGTGCCATAGGGTGTGTGTGCTCACCAGAGAGAGACAGCAAGCAAGAGACCACCCCCAGGGGGATGGCCACGCCACAATCCCTTCTCCGTTCTCTCACGATTTTTTGGACACTCACACACACGCACCTGGCATGAGTTTTAAGCTGCCTCCACGGCTCAAACTGCGGTCAACTACATAGTCCAGCGACATAACCATTATGCCATCTGCTGGTCCCAGGACATTGCCTCTTAATAAAACACACAGCCAGGTTTTCAAAACAGGACATCAAGTTAAATTCTAAAGAACCTTGTTCTGTGGGTTTAACATAGCGAGTATTGAGGCCATCGGGTATGGTAGTGGTTAAAGTGCTGGACTCCCACATGGTCGACTGTGGTTTGAGTCCCAGACCCAGCGGCTTGAGGATCGCACCAGGCATGTGTGGATACATACCCAAAAATCCTGGGAAGAGAAGGGATTGTGGCATGGCCATCTCCCCCTCCCTGGGGGCATGATTTCTCACTTTCCCTTTCACTATCTCTCTCTGGTAAAGACACACACCATATGACAAAACACCTTTTTTCAGAGAGATTTTTGCTATACTGCATGTGTGCTCACTGTAGAGACAGAGAGAGAGAGAGAGAGAAGGGGGGATGGGGGGAGGGATCCCCTCCGGGGGAGATGGTCACACTACAATCCCTTCTCCTTTCTTGGGCTCTTGGGCATGCATGTACATGTGTCTGGCATGAATTTTATGTCACTGGGTCTGGGACTCGAACCACAATCGACTACATGGAAGTCCAGCAACATAACCATTACGTCAACTGCTGGTCCCAGCAGAACACCTATCAAAAAGGGAGACTACCACAGTTTTCCCAAAGGATCTGCTTGTTCTAAAAGCGGGCCTGCTCATCCAGAGCACCTCTGTCAGGGTCTCTGACCTTCTCTGAGATGGGAATTCGGGGTGGGTGTTCTGGACGGTTACCTGATACGGAGCAGGAGGTACCTGGCATTTACTCTTCAGCGTACCTCGATCTATTCAATGCCCCCATCCCCGAGTCTTCTTTTCCGTAAAGTAGGCCACGTGTCTGTTACGTCAGCTTGGACATGAAGAAATAGAAGGTTTGTACATTGTTTCTACTCAGTACCCGAGAGACCCTGGGCCCCCTCGATCTCTGCAGGAATGTGACTGCTGTTTGTTTTCATTTCCTTGGGCTCTTCTAACTCAAATGGAGTGCAATTTTACTAAGTACTGTGTCAGGAAATGGAGGGTAGATGTTTTGGGCGATACTGATGGGAAACAGAAAGATCTAATTCAGGCCTAACAATGGAGTGAGGGGCTTATCTGTGACCGTGTGATTAGCCTTGCTCTGAGGAAGACAGAGGAGACAGCAAGACAGGAACTTCTTTAGAAAACGAAACCTCTTCTATGTGAATATCTAACGTATTGTAAATGTCTAATCCTTATCGCAGGCTTTCTATTTCTACGAATGTATAAACATTTCATTAAAAAAAAATACATTGCCACTCTTCAGTGGGGATTTTATAACAATGCAAAAGTTTTGTTTTGTGTTTTAATCTTTTTCAGCAACTTCTGTTAATTATCGAAATTTGAGGGGGCCTGAAGAAAGACAATTCGGAGTTAGAAGCGAAGACCAGAGGTACTTCTGCTGTTCTGATGTGATAGTATTTCAGATCTCTGAGGGGGTGGGGAGCTGGGTATGTTCTCCTGAAAGCTTCTAGGCCTGCTATTCTATTTTTTTTTTTTGGAGAGGTTTTCTTTTGCTATAGGGCGCATGCGCTGGCCAGAAAGACAGAGAGATAGAAAGAGAAATCACCCTCCTCCCCCAGGGGGGATGGTCATGCCGCAATCCCTTCTCCTCCATTC